TTGCCTCCTCTACAATACGCCTCCATTCATCTCTGCATATCGTGATTTGCAAGAATTATCAGTAAAAATCTGTTATATGTTTGGTAGATTATTTCTATGAAGTCAGTTTGTGCTTATATAACACGATCTTTCTGCTGACCATTGTTAGGAATGTTATATCAGAAGCCAGTATTTTATTTTTATGTTCAATAAATATCGAAATTAGCGTCTAGTTTTAAGGTATTTTTTGATTAAAATATTAATGGCATAGCGAAGTTTCTGTTTCTGTTTCTGTTTTAATAAAAAAAATATTTAATAATCGGAAAAGTAGTGTACAATTATCAGTTTTTGTATGTATTTATATATTTAAAATATGTAACAGTTTGCAACTATAGCTAATAATGATAGCAATAAGCTGTATAAAGTAAATAAAACCTTAAGTTTAAATGGAAATATTTGATATATATTAAATTAAATTGATAATAAGATAGTTTTTGCAATCATTATTTATAACATTCATTTTTTATATTATATATTATTTTAATCGGAAATAAAAGATTTGTTATATTTAAAGACTAGCTTCCTGGTCAGTTTTTATGTTGTCATATATTTATAAAGTAATTCGTTCGATTTAGAGAATTAAAGAAAATACAAATTTATTTTTATTAAATTTTAATTATTATTTTAATGAAGATTGTACACCGTTGTCAAGTTATCGGTTAATAAGCATTTCAATTGGATGTTAGTACTTAGTACTAGGCTAAAAATTGTGCAATTTTATTAAACCAGCAATTTCTTTTTTTAAAAATTATTACAACACAAAAACTTACCAACATATTATATAACATTTAAAATAATGTTTTTTTTTTTGCATTTTGATTATATTTTTATTCTTAATAGCTATACGCGCTGTATTTCTTTTTTCACAAATTCTCTAATAATAAATTGTGGCTTGATTATATTATAGTTCAACGTTTATTTAAAATACTATTTTTAATATACAATATACGCAATGTATATATACATATTCTTATATAAATTTATGTACCATAAATTACAATTATTTTCTTTTAAAGTGTATTTTTATATTTCTCTTTATATAATATTTATATATAAATTTCTTGTATATTCATTACTTATATATATAATTTTTATTTATAAATTACATTAAATTATTTGTATATTGATACAATTCTTGTGATAATTTTTACAAACTTACCCACTTTTTCTAGAAAAAATAAAAAGTATCTAAAATTCTGTTCATAATTGTTTTGTTTTTGGTTCTGACTTTATTATTATCGTATAAAATTGTGCTATCCAACTTTTTCTTAGATTTTATTGCAGATATAAATCTCAATAGATTTACAAAATTTGTTTCCATAAAAACCAATAGTATATTTTTTACAGTTAAACATAAATATTAGTAAATTCAAAATCCTAGGCTTTCAAGTTATTTCTAATTAGTGCCACTGATCTTAACTTGGATTTGACAATTCGATTTTGAATTTTGAATTTTTTCTACTTCACCCAGTATACCCTGAGGATTTTATTAATAAGTCTTTATATTTTGTTAATAAAAATTCATATTGCATTTTGCATTAATTGTGACTGAAAAATATATTTTAATAAATATCTTTTTATTGGTTAATTGTTTATTAGCATAAAATTAGCAAATATTTTAATCAAGTTTGTTATAACTATTAATAATAGTATTGGAATATCAAATTTAAGATAATTAAGATTGGAAAAAATTATAATGTGCTGAAGTTAAGGTTATGACGACGACGGTGCTTATAGAAATCCACCTATTCCTATTGACCCATTGTGTTACCGTACCAAAATTGGAGAGTTTTGAATAATCCATTTTTAATTCAAATTTAAATTTTTGCCATCCTTATATGTACAATTATACTCGTATATTATTTTTGTGTTGATTTTTCAATATAATAGCAAACATATGAAATAATTAAAATTTATTTTTTTATTTTATAATATGTTATAATTGAAAAATTTACTATAATATTAAACAATTAACCAAAAAATTAAGTATAAAATTAAAACATTTTAGTATAAAACATATATATTCATTATATTAAAATAAATATACATATATGTAATATTATTGTAGATTGAATCCTTTCTAAATATCCTAAATCTAATCCATCCTCATCACATCACATTTTCTCTCATTCAATTATTTTGTTGATAATAGTTTTAAAAGAAGTAAAACGTAAATTTGTAAATATCATTTATTTAAAAAATAAATATTTTCTTCTTTTTAATATAGGTATATACTGTATAATGTCTCTTCAACCAAGCGTAAGACCACGTGTTCGTGTTCCTTCACCTCAACTTATGGGAAAAGTTGGTATTCGTCCTGTCATGACGTTTACGGGTCCCAGGGTTAGTATTTCATTATTACTTTTGAACAGTTTCCAAAAAATAAATCAAAAAATATATATAATAAAAATATTTTATTATAAAAATATATTTAATAAATAAAACCTAATAAATATAAACCACAATAATTATCAAATTTTATTATAGATGTCTTTTCGACCAAGGATTCCACCTTCTGTTAACGTTGTTAATAGACCATCGGTAATTGCTGATACCTTTAAGCCACGCGGCGGTTCAATTTCTGTTCGTCCAAGGGCAATATTAGCATCACCCCAGGCTGCAAAGCCTGATTCTAATGATTCTGGTATTAAGACACGATATATGTTATTTATTTTTAGTACATTTATTTCAACCAAGTAAAAATAAGTATTAAATATATTCTAATTTTTATTTTTCTATATAAGTACCAAATTTGATTCGTCGTATTTTAATATCTCCATCTATTCCGCACTCGCCTTCAAATTTGTCGTCATTTTCGTCAACTTCAACTTCATCATCTAGTTGTACTCAAATTGAAAACTCCATAGCTAATCGTAATGTTTTTTTTTAACTTTTTTGTATTTAGTTTTTAGAAAATTAATAAAATATTTTTTTTATTATTTACTATAGTTGGTGTTGTTGCTGCTAAGCCGAGAGGTAATTTTGAAATAAATATGTTTTTAAGTTAAACACTTTACCAATTATTTCTTAAATTTTTTCTTTCAAAATAATTCTAGGCAAAGGGCATGGAGGACGTGGTATTTATAATATTTTATAAGAATATAAATAAAATACAAAATACTATATATAACATAATTTTTTTGTTTAATACATAATTTTGTTTGTTTTTTGTTTCTAATTAGGTGGACGTAATCGTGGTGGCCCGCATACACCGTTGTTGGATTCCTTGTTTACACGGCCACAAACTTGTGTTTCCAAAATGGGTGAAACTGGACGCCATGTTACTGTTGATACGAACTATTTCAAGATCTTAAAGAAACCCGAATGGAACATTTATCAATATAGAGTAGATTTTGTACCGGAAATAGATATGAGCTTTGTTCGTCGTACATTAATTCTCCAACATAAAGCAAAACTTGGTGGATATATATTTGATGGGACAATGCTTTTTACTACTAATGATTTAAGAGGCACTAAAAAGGGTCATTATCATGAATTCCATCTAACGTCTGAGTATCGTGATGGAAAGACAGTGCTTATTAAAATTAAACATGTTGGTATTGTCGATGCAAATGAGGCTCAACTGTTCCAAGTATTGAATTTAATCTTACGTCAATCAATGGGTGGACTGGATTTACAACAAATAGCTCGTCACTTTTTTGATCCTTATGCTAAGGTAAATGTGAATACAATTTTTTTTTTATTTAATAATGCTGAAAATAGCTCGTCCACCACCAATTATGGTCTCTGAAGATTATAAATACTCAGAACTGCAAGCTGTTGTAAAAAGTAACTGCAAGAAAGATTAATTAAGCTCCTCAATAGCGGTACTTATAAAATCAGTACATTTGAAATAGGCGACTACAGAGCTATTACAAAAGTGCTGTCTTCAAAAAAAGCTGCCTGGTATTCGTATGAAAACAAGCATCTCCGACCATTAAAGGTTATTGCAAAAAATCTTCCTCATTCATGTGACCCAGTCGATATCGTATTCGATCTGAAACAGCAAGGTTTTAAAATCGTGAACGCGGTCAACAAATGGAAATCACATTCAAAGATTCCACTTAATATGTTCATGCTTACATTTGAGGCGACAGAGGATATAAAAAAAATATATAACATTAAAGCTATTTTAAACTGTGTTGTTAAAATTGAACCAATAAAGCACTCAAAGCAAATACCACAGTGTAAAATATGCCAAGCGTATGGTCACACACAAAATTATTGCGGCAAATCAGCCCGGTGTGTTAAATGTGCTGGCAGTCACAGTACTGCAGAATGCAACAAACCTGATCAGCACCAACCAAAATGTTGCAACTGCGGTGAGGGACACCCGGCCAATTACAGAGGTTGTATAGTAGCCAAAGAACTTCAAAAATTGAGAAACAAAAAAATTGGTGAACAAAACAAAGGTAAACAGCGTAATCATATATCGGCTGAAAACCAACCTGAAAATAATCAAACTAATGTTCTAAATAAAAACCCAAAATCGCTGAATAATAAAAAAACATATTCGGATGTAGTTCAATCCAACACTGAGGACGATGGTAATTACAAAATACTAACACAAATACTGGAAAAAATCACTACTCAAGAAAACTTTTATAAAGCATTGGACAAACGCTTGACTAGGCTAGAGCAAAAACTCAACAAAACAAATAATGCTTAGTTATATAAAAATAATGCTATGGAACTCGAACGGTCTTCTTCAACACCTTAGAGAGCTTGAAACAGTCCTATCAGTCAAAGATGTTGATGTTTGCTTAATTAGCGAAACTCATTTTACTAACCAAACATATGTTAAACTAAAGAATTACGAAGTATATAGCGCAGTCCATCCTAGTAATTGCGCTCGCGGAGGAAGTGCTATTTTAATTAAAAAATCATTAAAACATTACGAGTCTACAAAAATATCCAAAGAGGAATTCCAGGCAATAACTGTTGTCCTTGACTTACAAAGCAAATTACTACTAACATCGGTATACAGTCCTCCAAGACATTCAATTAAATCCGAACAATACAAAGATCTTATAGAAACTCATAAGCATCGCTTCATTATGGGTGGCGATTTCAACGCTAAACATACGCATTGGGGCTCTCGCTTAATTACAACGAAAGGTAGAGAACTCCTCAAAGCTATACAGCAAACTGGCTGCGAATGCTTGTCATCCGGGAACCCAACCTATTGGCCAACTGACCCAACAAAGGTGCCTGATCTACTCGATTTCTTTATAACCAAGCAAATTTCGTCCTACAATTTAAAAATAACAGATGGAGTAGAACTAAGTTCCGACCATTCCCCTCTCTACATAACCCTCTTCGAATCTGCCTTAATAAATAAAAAATGTCTAAAACTTGAAAATAAATATACAGATTGGAGTTACTTCAGAAGAATCCTTAATGAAAACACCATTGCTTCAAAAGAAATTTGTGAAGAAAATGATCTTGAAAGCGAAATTTTGAACCTTACAAATTTACTACAACATGCGGCATGGTGCAGCACGCCCACATTAAGGAATGCAACCTATCCTCATAAATACCCAAAAGTCATTGTGGATCTTATGCGGGAAAAAAGAAAGATGCGGAAAAAGTGGCAGCAATCCAGATTTCCAGCAGACAAAGCCATTCTTAACAGACTTGCAAAAGAACTCAGCCTAAAAATCAAGCAATTTAAAAATAATCAATTCAACTACTACCTATCTAACTTAAGTAATGATCGTGCTACCAACTATTCTCTCTGGAAATGCACACGAAACCTTAAGCGACCTTTAGTACACAAAGCTCCAATTAAAAATCACGCTAATCAATGGGCTAAAAGCGATGAGGAAAAAGTGGAGGTCTTTTCCGAACACCTGTCAAAAGTGTTTTCCATAGACGAAAACGTTAACAATGCAGTAATCTGCCCTCCTAGGACAGCACATTCATCATGTATTCCACCAACCACCGAGCTTGAGGTAATGATGATTATTAAAAATGAACTTAAGCTAAAAAAAACCCCAGGTTATGAATTGATAAGTGCTGAAGTTTTAAAAGAAATTCCTGCAAAATGCCTAGTTAAAATTACGAATATATTTAACGCTATAATACAGATGCGAACCCTTCCATCCCTGTGGAAAGTATCTGAAATTATCATGGTACATAAGCCAGGAAAGGATATTAATGACGTAAGTGGTTACAGACCAATAGCACTTCTGCCTGTACTTTCAAAAATATTTGAAAAAGTCTTACTGAAAAGAATCCTTCCTCTGATTGAAAGTCAAAACATAATACCTTTACATCAGTTTGGTTTTAGGTGCAATCACTCCACCATAGATCAAGTCCATAGGATTACCAATGTAGTAGAAAAAGCTCTTGAGGAAAAAAAATCTGCTCAGCTGTGTTTTTAGATGTGTCGCAGGCTTTCGATAAAGTCTGGCACTCCGGATTGCTTACCAAAGTAAAAAATATTCTCCCAACGGAGTATTATGACATAATCTCCTCTTACTTATCTGATCGTTACTTTCGAGTAAAGCACGGTGATACCTATAGTAAACTGCATAAAATTAACGCTGGAGTTCCGCAAGGTAGTGTCTTGGGTCCTCTCTTATATCTGATTTATACACACGACTTGCCAACGAGTGCAACAACGTTCACAGCAACTTTTGCTGATGATACTGCAGTCCTTGCAGTTGGAGAAAGCGCAGTAATAGCAGCTAATAATTTGCAAAATAGTATGGACAGTATAATTGCTTGGACAAAAAAATGGAAAATTAATCTGAATAAAGAAAAATCAGTGCATGTAAATTTCACAAATCGAAACATCAGTCATATACCTGTCTACATCGATGAAGCACAAATCCCTCACGCGAATACTGCGAAATACTTGGGTATGACTTTGGACGCTAAACTAAGATGGAGCGAGCACATAAAAAAGAAAAGAAGTGAATTAGATCTTAAATTCAAATCGTTGAAATGGTTAATCGGCAAAAAATCAAAACTATCGCTTTTCAATAAACTTGTATTATACAAACAAATGCTCCAGCCAATCTGGACATATGGAATACAGCTATGGGGTTGCGCAAGCAGAACACAAATTTCCATCATCCAAAGATTCCAAAATTTCATGCTACGGAGTGTAACAAACGCGCCATGGTACGTGAGAAATTCTGACTTACATCGTGACCTTGGAGTGACAACAGTACAGGAAGAAATTCATACCAAAGCCAAATCACACCAAGATAGACTTAGTTGTCACATAAATGCTGAGGCGCATTTACTAGCGACAACTGAGCCAATACGCCGTCTAAAGCGCCGAAAGCCGTGCGATCTTTGGGCTTAAATCATTGAAATATAGTACAATTAATTTATTATTGCGTGGAAACGCCTAATCTATTTAAATTTAAATTGCTTGTTAGTTATCTAATAACTAGTTGCTTTATGTCTTGTTTTGTTTTATTTATTGTTCTTTAAAATCATATATAATAATAAAACAATTTATAATAATAAAAAAAAAAAAAAAAAAAAAATTTAATAATGCAACTACTAAATATTCTTAGGACTAACAAGAATTTTTAGTTTGATAAATTATAAATGTTTAAGCTAAGGTTTTATTACTTAATGAGATCAAAGGGAGATATTATACGTTTTAATCTCTGTGCTGAGTCAGTTGCGTTGATTAATTGACTAAATGATTACATAAATTATAAAAATTATTGACACGAAGAAAATTAAATCTTTGTGATTAATCCAAGAAGTTTACTTTAAAGTACAATTTTTTAAAAATCAAATTGAAGCAGAATATTTAACATTTATCAAAATCCTTTGCCCAAATTATGAATCAAATTCATTGATTATTCAGACCTATATACTACTACTCTTACTTTGTAATGTTCTCAAATTTATATTAGATATATTCATTTTAAAATAAACATATATCATATATAAATATATATTTATTTCACACCTAATATGTATACTTACAGATTAGCATTGACCCGTATCATATAGAAATCTGGCCAGGTTATATTACATCCATTCGTCAACATGAGCGGGATATTCTTCTCTGCACTGAGATTACACATAAAGTTATGCGCACCGATACTCTTTACACCATACTTCGTCAACTAACGGTCGAAACTAAAGACTATCAAAAAGCTTTTAAGACTGAAGTTATAGGTAAGCAACAGACATAATCTATGTTATACATATGAATACATGGATCTTATTTTATTTTAGGTTCTATTGTGTTGACGGACTATAACAATAAAACTTATCGTATAACTGACGTTGATTTTACGAGTTCTCCTCTATCGACATTTTCATTGAAAGATACAAAAGTTTCATTTGCTGAATATTTTAAATCGGTAAGTTTAGGTTTCACATATATACAATTATTACTATAAATAAAACCAATTATTATTATGTACAATAATAAAACAAATTGGGAACAAATAGTTCCCATTCTTTTAATAATTTATTATAATCCGTTTTAGCAATTTATCAGTAGTTAAGTAGTACAAGTATTATAGTACGACTATTATTAACAACTATTGCGATTATTATAACAGTAGGAAGCTGATAGCTATAAATTAAAAAATTTAGTAAGAGTTCATATTCTGATTTAAATAAGGCTAAAATAGTTCTTTGCACCCTTTACAATTGTATAACGATCCTATGCTTCTCATAGGAGTTAAAATTTATATATATAATTTATATATATAATTTACATATGTAATTCATGTGTTTAATTTATATATATAATTTATATATATTCAATTGTATTACATTGAATAGTATAATATAATATTATAAATCATAATGTAGTTTGATAGTGTACATTATTAGAAGACATAACTATTTTATGTAGGTATCCAAAGGAACAAAACTTACCATATTTACAATTTTTAAAACTCTCCTTTGAGCACGACAAACTTTTCTATCACATACGTCCTACGTCCAAAAGGACCGAGGTGCTTTTCGGGATGTTTTTTCAATTACCACGCCACCAAAAACCAGCACCAGAGGTTGAAATTGAAGATCCAATCCTTGCTTTATGGACTCTTTCAAACAAATTTTCCTTCCAGCTAAGTTAAGTTTAGAGTTGAGTATGAGACCCAGATATTCTTGTTTAAGCTATTTTTATCTTGGTTAAGAAAAAGAAAGAAATTATAGGCCTACTAGTAAAGAGTATTAACTCATTTTTATGTTGAGTTAGTTATAAAACCATATTCACCATATCATTTTTTTTAGTGACTGACAAAGAGTTAATAATATTAGATAGTAACTGTGAAAATTTGTTCAATGCGTTGATAGTTTGTTCGTTCACATAAAAAAGTTATAGCTCTGCATCCAAATTATTTCAACATTATTATTTTATCATCATTGATTGTCATTATTACTATTAATTATCATCATTTTTATTATTAATGATCATTATAACCGATTATCATTTTTATTATTAATACTCATTATCACTGATTATCATTATTATTATTATTAATTAACATGATCACTTATTATCGTTTTTATTATTATTATTTATTACTATATTTATTTATTATTATTTATTATTATTATTTATTATTATTATCATTTTTATTAATAATTATTGTTAATATTATTATTATTAATTAATATTATTAATTATTATTATTATTATTAATAATTATTATTATTAATTATTAATATTATTATTAATTATTATTATTATTAATTATTATTATTATTAATTATTATTATTATTAATTATTATTATTATTAAGTATTGTTATTATTATTATTATTATTATTATTATTATTATTATTATTATTATTATTATTATTATTATTATTAAGTATTGTTGTTCTTATTATTAATTATCATTATTATTACTATTATTATTCATTATATATTTCATCACTATTCTCATTATTAATTAAACAAATAAATGATGTATTATAATGTTCGAATTGTGAAAGATAATCTAATATAAAAGATTTTAGATATATATACATATTTATAGTA